CCCCAAAACCCCAAAACCCCAAAACCCCATGAAATATGCATTATCAAAATTTTACGATTTACGATTAATGTAAATTTAGGTACTATTTTAAAGTTATATCGTACTTTTATATGACTGATATCCTCGTTCTTAATAATAGCAATCGTTAATAATAAAGAGATCATAAAAGAATCCATGACTTCGTCTGACAAGGTAATATAGCTCCTAGTTACGTGAATTAATCCCCTCCTAATAGAAAAAAGTAGCATTGGACCTTAAGACCTTTTGGGACTAGATTGATCGTGATTATTTTCAAGAGATATCACTCGATCAAAGTCTTCCGTTTATTGATCGTTTAACCATCTAGATAGATCAACAATAACTTTTGTTGACCCCTGATAAACCCACTCAAATTTCAGCTGCTTCCACAAAGAAGCCCACTACGATGCTGAAATCGTAAACTCCAAGGCCTTCTCATCTTTCAGTTTTTTGTAATTTAATTAATTCAATTTTAACGAGCCAATTTATATAGAGAGCTCAACCAACAATCTTTAGAAAAGTCACAAAATCCCTTAATTAAATTTAATATCAGAAAAAAATTTAAAACCTCAGGGAAAATTTTCAGTGGGCATACCTCATTCCCACAATCACATGCAAAATATAGACTAACTGCCTAATTAACAAGACTAAGAATCTATTTTTGGCATTGATGGAGTTGGTTTCTTAAGAGGATATAAACAAATAATGGATCGATATGATATTCCCACTAGATGTAAGTAGTTTAGGATTCCTTATTTTCCATTGAAGTTTTATACCACATAGTAATATTCTTTGTTTTAGAGCCAGATATTGATGAGGAAAAGCTTAGTGAGACTTAGATTCAGTTAAGAGAATTGAAGATGCTAGAGGAAATAAAGAAACAGATTGGGATGTTTCTCAACTATAGTCTCTACAAAACGACAAGAGAACTGCCAGCTCAGAAGAAATTTAAAGAGCCAGTCGTTAAAATATCAATTGATGAAGAGTTGGCGAAGTTATAGGGAGAGTATGAGGAATCTAACAAAGAAGCAAGAATGAATCTAAAGAGATTAAGGAAGGCAATATAAAAATATGAGGATCCAGATAGTGTAGTTATATTAAGAGAAAGAATAGACAATGAGAGAGAATATTTACAGAGAACAATAATTTAGATGGAGCTGAAGCAGTTAGCTGAATCTATATCAATGATCTCCTTTAAAAAAAGAATTCGACAAGAAGAAATTGGTATGTATTATAACAATAGACCTATATTGTGGGCATAGAGAATTTTACATTAGGAAGAAATTAATTAAAGAAAGTAAAGAAAACTTGGTTGGCTTTAAAGAAATAAAGAAAATGTAGATGATTCTATAAAGAATGAATGGGAAGTAAGCACAAATTATATATACGATTTAAGATTTGATCCCAGTCTATTGATACCTGAAACTTGGGTAGATGGCAAAATAATGAACCAATTCAATGCTCAGAGGGATAATATATTTGCTTCCTCATCTAAGTATGACATAGTCCAATTGAGATAAGGAACTGCTCATTATCATACTACATCTGAAAATACCAACATTGATCAAATAGAAAAGTAAAGCAGAATGTAAAGAAATAGATAAAATCTTAGTTCAAAGAAGAGATCTAAATCAACACCAGGTCCTAAGATTGAGCCAGTAGTTTAGAGCAAAAGTAAGTTAGTCTTTATTAAATAACTTAAACGTTTTAGACATAATAGAGGAGATGAAGTCATTTGATGAGGATAAGATTAACTACGGCTTCTGCCATCATTGCAAGCAGCTCAAGAATAGATTCGTGCTAGCCTCTTGCAACTATAACTCTGCTAAGATGGGTCCTACAGTACCTGCCTCTTACACAGTGAAGGATGTCAAGATTTACAACAGTAAGTATCACTCCTACTAATCACAAAATATTTTAGTCGATATTGGAAACAAAGCATCATATAACTACCTGTTCAAATAACACATGAATAAAAACCATAAAGGTGGGATTAATACACCATTTTTGCTTAGTGAAATCAATGATCCAACAGTAAAAGCTGGCCATCTATAGGCTAGTAGCGGCAGATCAAGGTTGAATTCTGAATGTCTTAAGGGTGATGACGATAATTATATTTGCTCTAGGAAATTTTGTTCATTTTGTTTAAAGACTTAGTATGAACTTATATTTGGAGATTGTTACAAGAACCCAGAATGGATTTGTCCATTTTGCTAGGGCATATGTTTTTGTACTAGATGTTTAAGACAGGACACTATGACACAATTAAAAGCTTATTTCATTGCTTTAGGAGGTGATCTTGACATCTTATAGACATCTGATTGCATATTTGATAAAACAATTTTGAATAACTTCTAAACTCATCTCTAGTTAACTCTCCTAGCTAATCCTGAATTAATCATAAAGTATCAGCATTATCAAGACTTTATAAGTCATTAAGGCTACGGATAAAATAGGAAATATTAGAATGAAACTTTAAACTAGCTTGCCAATTAAAACACTTTAAGTTAATTCAAGCCTCTTCATTTTCCTTATCCTGAGCCAAAATTAGGCTTTACCTAGGAAATTTAAAGCTTCGATTATAAACAAAATCCAGAAAAAGACTAAAATGAGGGTGAAAAAGAAAAATTCCTCAAGCTATTTGAGTACTGTATATTATAAATAAATGAGGAAGAAAAAGAAAGGGAAAAGAGAAGGAAGCTTTCAAATCAGACTTATCTCTCAATAAAGAAAAAGGATGAAGAGATTATAAATATACTTAAAAAGCCAAGAGGTAGAAAAAGATTTATTCTCATTGATAATTAGGTAAAAGAGAGATTATCGAAGAAGGATGCAAAGTATCTAGAAGAAGTAACATTGCATCACTAGCCTATGCTTATTGCTTCTACTTCAAAGACTAATAAGATTGAGACCTCAAAAGATAATAAAATTCTGAAAGAAATAAGTAATAAGCTAGAATAGATCTAGAAACTTGAAGAAAAAATTATAAATAAAGACAGGATTTAGAGCTTAGCAGAGTAGAGCTAGCTCAAAGAAAAGAAACGAAGGAGAACTACTCACTTCACTCCCTCAAAAACTAAGAAGAAGAAGTCATTAGTATTCAGAAAATAAAAACCAATGCTTGGGTTTAAAAGCAAAAAATCAACTAGCAAAGCTCTAATGAAATCTAAACTAAACTCTTCATCAGCTAGCTAAAAACTGACCCCATGTCAATCATAAATATAAACTGATAAAACATCCAGCATATCTAAGAAGGCACCAATAAGAATCGAGAAAGTGAGAGTTAGTAGTGGATCAAAGAGTATTCAGAAGCCAAAGCTTAAGCAGACTCAACTAAAGTTTTAAAAAGCACCCAAGCACATCAGATGATAAGAATAGATTGTAGAATTTTTAAAGAGAGAAAGTTCTAGCATTTGATATACTTTATGATATAGTTAGTTATGTGATATTTGAACTAGTTTTTACGAGTATTTTTAACAGTTAAATAAAGTATATTTTGAATGTGTTAACTATAGATATCCTCTTATATATGAATTAACATTATCTATTTATTCAGACTAGTTCAGGTTTTACTAGAGGATACATTTGATGCATGTATGTACATATCCAGAGAATCCACATACAGAATGTGCCCATAAACACTAGTCCAAAAGTCATCCTATATAAATCATTACATTCTATTACTATAGTTTATAACCATACAATCTATTATCACGAGCCTAAGATCTTTCCTTGGTGACTGAGTAAACATATTAACCGAGAATAGCAGCACCGAATACAAAAATAGTAATGAATATGAGTGTCCCTTGCCAGAGTCCATCTTCCTTTTTGCCCATCTTTTGATTTTTCTTTATATTTATAATCTATTTACTTTAATTCTTATTAATGCCTTTTACAATTATTCTCTCATACGGGGTTTTGGGGTTTTGGGGTTTTGGGGTTTTGGGG